GGTGGGTAAAATGAGGACCCAGATTGTTGTTGGGGGCAATATGCTGACTCTGTAAACCGCTTAGAGAGGGCTGAAAGCCCTATGAAGCGGTATATCAGCCTAACTATTGCTCAGCCTGTTACAATATGTTGCTAAACTGACGGAAAGGGACAGGTAGATGGATTGTTTCTGCAAATGCAAAATACATGTGACACAAATTACCTTATCAACTAACAATTTTAGTGCGTTGGAAACCCATTATGTTTACTGAGACCTTCTGAGATTGTCTGAAACCTTTTGATGTACAGTATATGAGTTCAGTAAAAGGACTCCAGAGGATGGTAGAGAACAGGAAGGCCTGGAGGAACAGGTTGTGAAGGGTCGGACATGATTTCGCAACTAACAACAACATATGAGTTCTCACTGAATGTTGCTCTTAAACTTCTATTTTTTTTAAAGCATTTTGAGGTCTGTTATGGAAGCCCATAATTTGTGTAAGGAACCCCAAAGGAAAAAAGACTAATAGGAAATATGAACATAAACATCTAAAAGGGGCGTTTGGCAGGAGGTCTACTTTCCTTTAGATTTCCTAACTCAGAGATTTGTGTAGAAAAAAAATTCTTGCTCAATGAATTTGTTTTAAAAGTGCTATTACAACCTGAGAAACATAAAATCAACCAAGTGGTAAATAACCCTGACTTTTCAATTACTGTTTTTATGAATTCCATTGGCAAATGAATTCTCAAAGGTTGGTTTTTTTTACTGCAATGTGGACCTCATGAAAGTGCATTTCTACAATACAGGATATTAGACATTTTCATCACATGTGTTTTCTGAAGCTATTTAAGTTTGACAAGCCTATGTCCTACCCTGGGACATTATGTAGAAGGATACTCATTGGGAAGTTTTATGGCGATGTAAATTCCCATGGCTGAAGTTTGTTGGTAATACTTATGTCCCAGAGGAGAACAGCTGAACTTTTTCAGAGAATTTCAATGCAGGTGGGCGTCATAGTTCCTGGCAAAGTGACCTACATCAGTCAAACAAACAGGCTTTGGAAGAAGTAATTGGACTTTTGCAGGAGAGCCATCAGAAGGAGGCTGACAGGTGAGGATAAAGTGGTTTTCGGCACTGAGCAACTGCTGAGCAAAATCGGAGAAAATAATAACCCAGGTAGAGCAGGGGTGGGGAACAATGACCCTTTTATGACTTGTGCATGTCAACTCCCAGAATTCCTGAGTGTCATTCTAACTTCAACTGAACACTAAATGAATGGTTGATAATCGAGGACTACCCATAAATAGCAATAGCAATAGCAGTTAGACTTATATACCGCTTCATAGGGCTTTCAGCCCTCTCTAAGCGGTTTACAGAGTCAGCATATTGCCCCCAACAACAATCCAGGTCCTCATTTTACCCACCTCGGAAGGATGGAAGGCTGAGTCAACCCTGAGCCGGTGAGATTTGAACAGCCGAACTGCAGAACTGCAGTCAGCTGAAGTAGCCTGCAGAAGATGGCAGCTTTGATTGTGTAGGCACCATTCTGGTTCTCTTTTAACATCCTCTCCCTGGGATTTGCCATAAGTAGTTGAGAAATGGGATACAAGCAGGGGTGAGCTGCTATAGGTCCGCCCGGGTTTGGGAGAACCCATAGCTAACGTTATGGCGTTTGGAGAACCTCCAAATCCCACCGTTGGCGGCCCTGCCCTGTCTCCCACCCTGCCCCTCCCATTCCACCCCTTCCCTCCCAGCAGCCTCCACGTGGCCCGTTTTGCATGCAAAGTAAGTGCAGGGCCTGCACGGAAGCTTGGGGAAAGGGAAAAATGGGCCTCCAGGAAGTTTTGAAAGGCTGGAAAGGGACCCATTTCTGGCCTCCGGAGGGTCTCTGGAGCCCGGGGGAGGCAGTTTTTTTTCCCTTGAGGAAAGCCTCTGGAGCCTGGGGAAAGCAAAAACTCCCCCCCCCCACATGATATAGGAGGCCAACTAGGCCATGCCCACCATGGCCACACCTAACCAGCAATTGGGTAGAGAACCTGTTGCTGAAATTTTTGAAGGCCACTCCTGGATACAAGGAAGCTGTGTACCAGTGGTAGGTTCCGGATCTGTACCAGTTGCAATGGGGCCCATCATCCTCCACATGAATGTGTGCAGTGTGTGCATGCGTCCTACCCTCCAGCGACGCCTCTGCACACCTCTGTGATGCTCCAGCTGCTCAGCAGAGCATTTAACAGGCGCTGTACATGCTGTGCGCATGCACGGAAGTGCTGAAGAGTTTAAAGACAGGTAAGGATGATGGGCGGGTGGGCCCCCTGGAGCACTGTACCAGAACAGTACCCAGTGCTCCGGGGAGGCATCAATACCCCCCTACCGGGACGTACCGCCTGCAACCCACCACTGCTGTGCATCCAGAGCTAGTCATGAGCTGGATGTAGGAAAGATGCTTCAAATGTGAAAGCAGGAGTGAAATAATGTGATTAGATCATAGACTGAGATGAGACACTTATTAGTAAACAAGGGGAACACAGAACCGGGGACCTTCCAAAGTGATCTGAGTGAGCACAGATGTAGGGAAGGAATGAAATATCAAACTTTGGAAAAGATGTAAAAATATGATCTTGTGGATACAAAACCTTAAACTAATGGACAAGGATCAAATTTAAGTACTCTGCTTGATGCAAAGAGATTGATCAGCTCTAAAATTAAAACCTGGAGTAGAAAAAGGAAATGAGAAGAGTTGATTAGGCGGTGGCGCCATGGTTAGAGGGCAGTACTGCAGGCTACTTCTGCTGACTGCCAGCTGTCTGCAATTTGGCAGTTCGAATCCCACCAGGCTCAAGTTTGACTCAGCTTTCCATCCTTCCGAGGCGGGTAAAATGAGGACCCAGATTGTTGGAGGCAAATATGCTGACTCTGTAAACCATTTAGAGAGAGCTGGAAAGCACTGGAAAGCTTTATATAAGTGTTATTGCTATTAGCTCAGAAATGCAATTTGAAAAAATAAATTCTAAGTCCCCTTATCCATAAATGATTTTTTCCCCTCAAGATTTGTATTAAAAAGTTTTAGAGAG